TAAGTAAGTAAGTAAGTAAGTAAGTAAGTAAGTTTATTCAGTGTTTAAGGCCATTGGCCCATATCACATCATATAAAGCACTCATTTGATAGTTTCCATAATGAATAAGTACAGGTTGTGCACATATTATCTTTTATCATGGGTCAAACATTGCATATTTCTGTCACTGGGCCGAGTCAGGCTAGGGGAGATTAAAAGAACAAGCTATCATGACTGTATTTCTAACAACATCATCTGCCAGTACTGTAACAAGACATCTTGTGTGGTACGACGAGGTGGAATCAGGCGCCCGTCAATTTTTGGGCACATGGAGTTATTGGTATCATCTTATAGCTTGTTCATTTTTCTTCCTTCTAATAAAAAAAATAAACAATGTATCTTGAATAGAAGTCGAGATATTCACGATTGAAGCAAGTGGGGGTCGCCCGGTTTCAAAGGTAAAATAAGCGAGAAAATGGTCGCCAAAGTTTGGTGACTTCCAAAGCTTGAGAGTCCTTGGAAACTGTAAATTTACTTTTTGTGTGTCTTTAATCAAAGTTTTTAAGTAAAAGTCACTCAGCAAATTGTTTTTAAATGGACATAAAAAGTACGGAGCCAAAAACTAAAAATTCGATAAAAATTGCCAAAGGGGAAGAAAAATGCCGTTTTCTTCAGTTTCATTATTTTGACGAGCGCCTGATTTCACCCCAATGCCTCACATATGATGAAATGATACACAACCGATCCTGATCCAACAGTCACCTGTATAAGACAATCACCTGTACAAGTTGCCACTTCCCATTTCCCCTCTTTCTTTTCTTTTTTTTTTTTCTTTGGGGTGTTTTTTTTGGGGGGGGGGGGTATAATGATATTGTGTAAAACGGCCATCAGTCTAAGGCGGCCACTTTCTCCTCGACAATGGGTGGCCGTCTTTCACCATTTCTACTGTATGCTGAAAACGAATTTCGAATGTTTTCACTTTCTATCTGTACGCCCTGGGGTCATTTTGTACCCCCGGGGTTGTATTCTTCACATTTTAGAATACTTCTAGTACGAAGATCTCTTTGAAACTTTCAGTGTTTCTCAAAAAATAATTTTGACAGACTGCTATGCAATGTGTACGGATAGGATTAACGAGTAAATTTCCTCTTTGAAAGTGGTTGCACAAGAGTTCCCCACGTCGTATGGATACGATAGTAAAACACGACGTACGGATATATGGTTAAAAAACATAATGAGAGAGAGAGAGAGAGAGAGAGAGAGAAGAGAGAGAGAGAGAGAGAGACAGAGAGAGAGAGACAAAGAGACAGAGAGAGAGAGACAGCGACAGAGAGAGAGAGAGAGAGAGAGAGAGAGAGAGAGACAAAGAGACAGAGAGAGAGAGACAGCGACAGAGAGAGAGAGAGAGAGAGAAACAGACTGACAGAGACAGAGACGGAGATAAAGAGGATGGGGCGCCTGTACGTGCCTATGTATTATTTGTACAGTATGGGCTTATCGAAAAAAAAATCAATTGTCTGATTGGTAAACGAAACGAAAAACACGTCAGAACTGTCTATTTTACAAACGAAACATGGTGATACTAACAACTTACTGTTAAAAGTATTCGTCGTTTTGTTTTATTAACGTTACTTTGTCTGCAAAGAATGTTATTTTAAAATTGTATTTAATTATTTATTTATTTATTTATTTATTTATCTATTTGTTATCTATTTATTGGGGGATACATGCTTGTAACCTTCCAGCTTATATGCTATAAATACTAACGTATAACAAACTAAACCTGCTGCAACAAACCAGCAGGGAATAATTAGCTCACGACTTGTAGAGAGTTAGGCCAGGAACTAGATGGCAGAAAAGAAACAAGCAAAACTGGAAATGAAAAAAAAAAATGAATACATTTGTAACGAATCAGTGGCTCTATCCAACATCGTACCGTGCCCGAAGGAAGAAAACTAGTACAAAATATAAAATAATATAATATATAATATACATACTAGTATAAAATAATATATAAAATACACACTAAGGTACTCACTTCTGACACAGGCTACTACAATGCTGTACATATAATACAGTAAGGCAACACCAACACCGGCTGTTTGCTTGAGTCTTCAAATAAGTCTACTGTTATGTTATTGCATACATGTACGAGTATATCTTTCTCTACATCCATCTACAGTGACGGTCTTTCAAAATGTAAGCGTCATCTGGACGCATATTTTGGTGTTGCCTCGCGTTGTCTGATTGGAAGTGTGGGCCAACTGAGCCGCTAATAAGGAGGATCAGCGCAAGTGATCTAGTTAAAAGGGTATTACATAAAAAGAAGCCAATTACGGCGGGTAAATTGTCGGGTTCAGGGGATTGGGGGGAGATGTGGGGGGATATGTGGGGAGGGGGGGGAGAGTATAAAGTGAGCAGTGTAGCAAACCAATCTTTTGTCATTGGACGTCATAAGCTTTTTGCGCGTGTTTTGTAAGTACTGTCATTATAATATTATACATTAACAAAAGCCTGGAATATGATTAATGTGTTACGACGTGGTGGAATCAGGCTCTCGTCAATTTTTGGGCACGTGGAGTTATTGGTATCATCTTAAAGTTTGTTAATTTGTCTTTCTATAGATTGAAAATTATCCATTTGTCGTTAATACAAGTTACGATATTGTCGATTGAAGGAGGTGGGGGTCGCCTGGTTTCAGCGATAAAATTAGCGAGAAAATGGACACCAAAGTTTAGTTTATTTCCATAGCTTGAGTGTCCGCGGAAACTGAAAATTTACACTTTTGGTGCCTTAAATTAACGTCTTTCAGTAAATGTGTTCTGTAATGGACATGACAGGTGTTGAGTCAAAACCCCCCACAAAAATTCGATAAAAATTCCCAATCTTGCGAAAACATGCCAATTTCATCACTTTCATTATTTTGACAAGCGCTTGATTTCACCACGCTGCCTCACATATGAACAGATTGTGGTTTGAACAATAACCCCCCCCCCCCACCCCACACACACAAAAAAAAACCCCAACCCAAAACAAAAAGAATTAAAAGAACAGATTGCATTTTGTGCCATGAGTATTTTGTCCGACTGCAGCGAGTGTTTGTACATTAACCCTATCCGTACGCCCTGGTGTCATTTTGTATCCCCAGGGTTGTATTTTTCACATGTTTGAATACTTCTAGTACGAAGATCTCTTTGAAACTTTCAGTATTTCTCAAAAAATCATTTTGACAGACTGCTATGCAAAGCGTAGGGATCGGATTAACGAGTAAATTTCCTATTTGGAAAGTGGTGGCTCAGAGTTCTCCACGTCGTGTGGATACGATAGTAAAACACGACGTACGGACAGGGTTAAAGAATCGGCCAACATGAATCGATGAATGTCATATTCACAGATGGAACAGGAGGCAGGTGAAAAGTGATGCGCTAGCCTATAGTATTATACTTGCCTTAGAAAGTAGCGTCTGAGAGCTTCTAGCGCAGACATTAATAGTTAATTTCATGGTAGCTTTCACAACAGCAAGACCGGAAAGGTGGCGAGCTGTTAGCCACCTCTTTGACAGGATACATGTTATGATAATGATCATAGGTTGACCACAGCTGCCGAGAGCAATATGGAGATATGGAGAGAGAGAGAGAGAGAGA